AAACAATGTGCTAGAGCAAAGTTTGGCAAACTACAGCTCTGGTCTTCTGGCTGTATTTATTAAAAAAAAGTTTTATCAGAAAACAGACATACTCATTCAGTTATACATCATTTGCAGCTGCCTGTGAGCAATAATGGGAGAGATGAGTAGGTGCAACATAGACTGTATGATTCAAAGGCCGAAAATAGTTAGTATTTGTCCTTTTATAGAAAAAGTTTGTCAACCCCTACCCTAGAAGCTAATTTATGCATGTTCTGCTTGTTACAACTGTAACTGAAGTAGAGCAGGTCTATTCTTCCTTGTAATGCTAATAATCATTTCAGAGCCCTGCCTTGAGATTATAATTTTTCCTCATCAACTATACTCTTCAGAAAGAATCTCAGAAAAGAAAGAGGACATAGTTCCCTGCCCCCTACACAAAGTTGGATGTCATAAAACTAGCTCAAAGCATCTGATCTAATTAGGTGACAACTTGATCATAACTATAAAAGGCTCAATATTGTTCTTCTGTCTAACACAAAGACTTACGTGCATATCTATCTTATTTTACTGTTTTTTAAAATCTGTTCTGTCAAATATAATTTGTATAATGAATTTTTAAATGATATCTAAATTTCACAGAACATTCTCATGTTCTATGAAGGAAACCACAGCCTCTAAAATATATGAAAACCAATCCAAAGAGTAGTTTTTCTGTTTCTGAGGGAGGGTCTCACTCTGTCACCCAGACTGGAGTGCAGTGACACAACCATGGCTCACTACAGCCTCCAACTCTTGGTCTAAAGTGATTCTCCTGAAGAGCAGTATTAATTCATAATTTGTTCCCTCAGAATTATTTATTTGATATCTACATAATTCCAAAGTTTTGAATACTTGAGTTTGATAAGCCAGAAAGTGACCACTGGCATCTTTTTCTTATACCTATATCCTAGAAGAGTGTTAAATTATGATTTTGCCTCTTTTAGGAGGCAAGTTTTCATGATAAATCTTGGTGAAAAAAAATAAAAAACACAGCCAGAGAGGAAGTTTGGAAGGATGTACATTAAATTACTAAGAGTGATTATTTCTGCCAGTGGGACTATGGGTAAATTAACTCCCTATAAGTTTCTTAAACTACTGAATATATCATCAGAAATATATAAGAAAGCTATTTCCAATTACCAAATTTTTTAAAACAAAGTTGGAAACATGGTTTCCTTCTATCTAAGAACATAATGAGCAGAAAGGTTTTAAGAATAAGTGAGAATATGAAGGAAATCTGTGACTGAAATAAATTACTCCTACCCACTTGTGAAAACATTTTTGCTATATTTCATCAATGCAATAAAGCACATTCACTATTCTCATAGTTGTATCAACAAAATTCAGTTAGGTACCATTTTCAGACTAAATAAGAAAATACGTATGAAGAAGTGTGTTTGGAACAGAGTACATGTTTATTATATATATGGCTTCATTTCCTTATTTTGTTTTTTTTTAATCAGGATCTCATGATGTTGTCCAGGCTGGAGTGCAGTGGCAACATTATACCTCACCACAGCGTCAACGTCCTGGGCTCAGGAGGATACTTCTACCTCAGCCTCCTGAGTAACGGGACTACAGGCACATGCTACCATGCCCGACTAATTTTTTTATTTTTTTGTGTAGACAAGGTCTTGCTATGTTGCCCAAGCTGGACTCAAACTCCTAGGCTTAAGCAATCCTCTTGCCTTGACCTCCCAAAGTGCTAGGACTGCAGGAATGAGCCACTGTGCCCAGCCGCACATTTATTTTATTATTTAATCATTAAAATATAATTTTGGATATACTCTTGCAAAATTGCTTAAAAATGCTGCTCGAGTAAATTTGACATATACAATATGAACCATTTGGATTGTACTTTCTCCTGTGTACAAATATTGCATAATATTATGTATTAGTCATTTTTCTTTTTGACTAAATTGACAGTTTCTTTTATCTGAATGACACTACACCATGTGTATATAGTGTGATTAACTTAACTTTCCCCATACTACTGAAAACTATATTTGTATAGTTTTATCTTAAGTAATCTTTAAGATGATGTTAGTATTAGTATTTGATTTTAAAAATCAAGTGGATCAAAATGTTTTATCATGAACTTGTAGACATTCCAGGGAAAAAAAATGTTGGCCAAAATTTTTTAAGCTTATGTACCATTTATGTCACTTCATAAAGTTGCAGACACTCTGAAGAAAAAAAAAGTTATAAAGTATTCAGAAAAATTTTCAACGCAATATCAAGAGGATCGTGGCTTCTTGTCAGCAACAAAATGGAGTCAAATTGCCTTAGGTTAAGAACCCATATTCTAGGACATTTGTAAATCTGGCTTTTAAAAATTCATTTCTAGTGCCCATTAAAATTAACCTTATATTTTCATTATTCTTGATTCATAGAAAATGCATGGGGAATACTAAGAATCGTCATATAACAGCTTCTTTTTTCCCCTTGAGGATGAGGGCTTATTAAGTTCCAGGCCCTTATTAAGTGTACTAAGGTCACACCCATATTAATATATGCAACAGTCATAAAGACCCTGAGGCACTGACATAATTATTATCTACATTTTACAACAATAAACTGTAAAACAGAAAAAATTAGTAGCTACTGACTCCTTTGAAAAGTAGCTAGTATGAACAAGTAACTGAATTTGAAGTTTAATTAATTTAAATATAAATACAAAAACAATATAAATGTTTTCTATTAAACACAACTTTATTGTTTTGGTATGACTGCATTTCACCTTACCCACTGAAAACTGTATTTCCATACCATAAGAATACTTTGGGAAGAAAGGAGCACATGGAGGAATTGAAGACCCACCTACCTAATGGGTATGTGAATATTACCTGAAAAGAAAAAGATCATTTGGAAAGGCACTGGAGGAGAAGGGGACCCATGTCTACGGTCCTATTATTAATTGGAAAAGGAAGGCCAAGGGACCAGGTCCCAATTAGGCAGGGCAATTCAGGAGAAGGAAAGTAAATAGTCTATGTTCTCAAAAACAAAAATGTTATCTAACAGAACAAAAAATAAATACAAACTGACCTTGAATTGGCCATTAAGTAAGCAGCAATGCTCTCCTCTCTTCTACTTCAGAGGCCCTCTGTTACAGAACTACATGACTAAGAAGGAGAAAGAACTCGTGAAATCCCAGAGTGGCTAAATAAGAACACACTGTCCGCCACCAGAAAAGCCTCGTCACACATAACAAACACACTCAGATGGAAGTAAGAGGGAAACTAGATTACTGTTTACTTTTCCCCAAATCAGAGGAAGACGTTATCACCCATGTCTAGAGATGGACTTGAAGTTCAGTCTCCTGAGCTAAGGGACACAGTTCAGAAAATACTGTGGTTCTGAAATGTGTAAATGGCCTCCAAAGTGCATCTGAGGGTAGTTTTCCCAGTGAAGGAATCCCACACCTGCGCTCTCCCCAGCATGTCTTTGCAGGAGCCTGTCTGGGAGGCAAGCACGATTCGCGTCCCATGGCTTAGAATGTACTTTTCTGCTTGGAACTCTCATTCTAGGGCTGAAATTCATGACTTCCCTTCTGTAAACCATGCAACTACAGCTGGATCTTGAGTGGGCAATCACTCCATCACAGTCCCTCTGTGTTAAGGCTGGGTATCTGGGACAAAGCATCTAAATAAAGACAACCAAGACCCATGCTTCAGTGCAGTGGACTCTGGTTAATAAAGCCATCTGAGTCTTCATAGACACAGATATGCCTCACAGAGGAGAAATGAAGTATACATCCATCCATCCATCTTTTGTTTCTCATGAAGAGATTATATTTACATCACAGAATGGGAAAAATGATGCTTTATCCAAAACACATCCAAACTCCTACAGGCTCATTTGAAAATAAAAACCCTCCAGCTGGTTGACACTTCTGGTCGATCACAACAGTCCTGTCATAAGGTCATTCAGTCAGAGTGTCACATAAGTCATCGTAGAACGGGGTGACACAACAGGCCCGCCCCTACTCACAATCCTACGAAGCTAGATCAGACACCAGTCAGGGCACACACTAGGGTCTCGCCGCACGCGCGCGCGCGCGGCGCCCCTCCTTCCCTCACCACCCCCCATGCGCTCCCCAATGACGCCATCACACAATCATTGTTGTCCTCAGCTCACGCATACACAGGCCCGAGGTTCCCGGCTGCACACCAACCCTCCGCGCCCCGGCAGCTCGGGGCCCCCCCACCGCGGGCTCCTCCCGCAGCCCGACCCGGGTCACCTCAACTCACCGGTCGTAACTCAATAACCGCGACCACACCGGAAGGGGAAGGAAAGGTCAAAGTTCACCCACCGCCCTGGGGCCGACGGGAAACGTAGTCCGTCGCCGGAAATGCCCCGACGTTCCAGCGGTGCCCACAGGCCACCGAGGCCGCGCCAGGCCCCAGGGACTCGGAGTTCCCGGATACGCAGACCGCTAACCCTTGGCCGAGGGTTGCAGCTGGCGCGTCCTCCGGCCGCGGGAGACGCGGCTGATGAAGCTCTTCAAGCGAGGTGAGGTCGAGGAAGGAAACTGAGCCCCGCCCGAGGAAGTCAGCGGGAACCCGGGCTGGGGAGGGGAGAAGAGGGAACAGGAAGCGCGGGCCGAAGTGGCCCGGGGGAAGGGAGCGGGGCGGGGATTGGAAGCCTAGGTCGCCTCTACCCCCCACGCGAGGGAAGCATCGGAAGCCCAGGCCTGGGAGGGAAAAAGGAATCGCGGAGGAGGAAACCGGACCCAGGCCGAGGAGGCCGAAGAAGGAGCCGGAAGGCCGGGCTGAGAAGCCAGAAGCCGGGCCAGGGAGGACCAAGGCGAGAACTCGGAGGTCTTGCTCCGCTCGGGCTTGTCGGTGCGGTGCCTCAGGGTGTGGTCCGTTTGACCGGCACTTTGGTCGCTTTTGCCCCGTGACAAAGCCCCAGGGCCTAGAGCGGCATCTGCCACGTAGCGGGACCTCAGGGTGTGTGCCGCCCGGGGGCGTGTTTGACACCGCTGACATCGGTTTCGAACCGTGTTCCGATTTCTGTCCCTGTCGTTTCGTTTGTCAGTTTCAGAACTCCGTATGTCGTCCCCTTGAACTCACCCTCATGCCTCTGAGACTTGCTAATGTTATGTAGTTCATTTTAAAGTTTCGGATGAGCCCTTCATTGTGCCGATACGGCACAATGTGTTTCGTCATTGTTCTGTTGATGCATATTGGGCATATTTCCAGATTTTGCATATCTTGAATAAAGCTAGCATGTTTTCATTTCTCCTGGGTAAATACCGAGAAGAAAAGCTGCTGCGTAATTGGTAAGTTCATGTTTAAATTTCCAAGAAATTGACAGACCTTTTAGAATGATTAGTTGTGAGTGATCTGTGTTTGAGACTATGTGACTGGAGTCAGTGGTTTCTCAGTTTGGTTTTGTATCTTTGAATGGAATTATGAGATGGGTTTGATGAGGTTATGAATGTTATGTAAAGTCTATGGGATTATGGCTTTGTGAAGTGAGTGAGATCACAAGAAACAGAAGGTGTATGTCCCAACTGGCTTTTTTTTTTTATCATAGTTTTGTGTGTACATTCCATGATGACTGAAAAAGGATCACTCTGTAAGTGATATCAATGAATGAGAAACTGTGTGTCTGGTATATGTCATTTTGCTTGCAAAACTATGACTACTTCTAATAAGAAAAAGAGTATAAGAATTGGAAAGTAAGAGGTAAAATTCTCATAATTTCTAGATGACAGGGTTGCATATCCAGAAACATCATACCAACTAAATCCAATGTGTTGAAATACTAGGACTCCATAGGTCATACAGAAGAAAAATAATTTCATCCCTACCACTTACAACAGTTAAATTTGAGTGTTTGTTTTTTCCCCACTGCTCCTGGATAAAATGGTGATTTAATAACTTTTTTAAAAAATTTTGAGTTGGTACCTCTCTGTCACCCAGGCTGAAATGCAGTGGCAGAATCATGTCTCACCACAACCTTGACCTCCTGGGCTCAGCCTTCTGAGTAGCTAGGACTACAAGTGTGTGCCACCACACCCAGCTAATTTTTTTTTTGTAGGGATGGGGTCTCGCTATGTTGCCTAGACTAGTCTCGAATTCCTGGGCTCAAGCAGTCCTCCCAAAGTGCTAGCCTCCCAAAGTGCCTCAGCCTCCCAAAGTGCTAGGATTGCAGGTGTTAGTCACTGTGTCCTGCCCAATTTAAAGGTAAATCACTCTAAGCCAAGTAAAAGTACTGGAAATACTTCTAATCACAAGGAGCCTTGTAGTAATTAGTCATTTTCTAATTAAAATATTTGCTGTAAAAATCGGTATTCCAAGCCGGGCTCGGTGACTCAGCCTGTAATCCCGCGCCTTTGGGAGGCCGAGGTGAGTGGATTGCCTAAGCCCGCAGGTTCGAGACCCGCCTGGGCAGTGAGACCTCATCTCTACAATAAATCAAAAAATCAGCCGGGCATGGTAGTGCATGCCTGTAATTCCGGCTACTCGGAAGGCTGAGGCGGAAGGATCGCCGGAGCCCAGCAGATCGAGGCTGCGGTGGCTGGGAGTGGCCCCTGCACTCCAGTCTGGGCGACCAAGTGAGATTCCAACTCAAAAAAAAAAAAAAAAAATCGGTATTCCAAACTTCATTTAAAGGAAAATTGTTTTCCATCTGTCTGGATCCTACTGTTTCTTCTCTTTTTCCCCAACCTGTATTACTGAATAATTAATATTTAGCATAATGATTATTAATTGATATTTAACAGTAAATATTGGCCTGGCGTGGTGACTCACTCCAGGAGTCACCTGTAATTCCAGCACTTTGGGAGGCTGAGGTAGGAGGATCACTTAAGGTTAGGAGCTTGAGACCAGCCTGGGCAACATAATGAGACCAGGTCACTATAAAACATATTTTTAAGTTAGCCGGGTATGGTAGTGCACCCGAAGTCCTAGTTAGTCAGGAAGCTCAAGCAAGAGGATTCCTTGAGACCCCAGAGTTCAAGCTGCAGTGAGCCATGCATGATTGTGCCACTGTACTCTAGCCTGGGCAACAGAGCGAGATCCTAACTCAAAACAACAAAAACCAACAATAAATGCTAACTAGTTAACTAGGCAGATTTAACCAAGTTATATGGAAGCTCTAATGTAAGCAGAGTTTCATATGGCTTCTTTTGCCTCCCTTCTCTTTGACTTGTTCACTTAAAAAACTATATTCAAAAGAGCATGGGTCCTCTCCTGCAAATATTAAAAGCCATAGCATAGCCAGGTGTGGTAGCGCACACCTGTAATTCCAGCTACTTGGAAGGCTGAGGTGGAAGGATCACAGGAGCCCAGCAGGTTGAGGCTGCAGTGGCCAGGAGCGTGCCACTGCACTCCAGTCTGGGTGACAGACTGAGATTCCAACCCAAAAAAAAAAAGCCATAGCTTGCATGAGAATGTTTCTTCTCTCCTTTCTGAAATAGTCCTTTTTCCCCAGGATATATAAACATTTGCCCATCTTCAAAATTCCATAAGATTGGATTCCCCATTTGCTTTTTATTCTAGGCAGATAAAACCTGTACCTTCTCCAAGTTCCCTTTCTTACTTTAACAATTGTTCACTTATTAATTGGATATTTTACTCAGCGTTCCTTTTTCATTCCCACAAACAGAAATGCATTCCCTTGAATTAAATATGCATATATATTCCTTTAATGAACCTGTCTTACTTAGACAATGATTTGATGTCTAAGTAGTGACTGCTTAGGAAAGCCCATACAAGGAAAAGCCTTTATCATGTTCACAGATTTCTGTTTTCTAATGAATGATTCTATTTTCTATTGAAATAGCATTAGGCCATTGCATTGCTAAGCTATAGTGTGGCCATGTGCTCTTTGAGCTATGGCCAAGGCCATGTTTTCTTAAACTTTGGCCCCCTCCCCTACCTTGAGGAGGTGAATCTCCTCTCTCTCTCTCATTTACTTTCTAAATAAACTATATTTTCTAATCTAAAAAAAAAAAGAAATAAAATCAGTAGGTTACATTACTAGTATATAGGAAAAGGGAGGTCCTCACATCACTCTGTGTCCTCCCTTTCCCTTCAGTCTACCTTTCTAGGTCATGTTGCACATCCCCCCCCCCCAATTTTTTACCTTCCTTCAAGGAAAGGTCAACACAGAGTGCAGGGGTTTTTTGGGGTTTTTGTTTTAAAGAAGAGCCATAAAAAAATAGGTGCTTTACCCACTCCTTCTACAAACACATATAGAAATGCCATCTAAGCTATAACAGGATGTCTTTAAAATTGTCAAGTTCAGAAAAAAAGAAGAAAGGCACGTTTTGCCAGAACAGACATGTATTAAAAGAATACCTGTGAAGATGAACTTGAGCTGACGTCTCAGAATCCCTAAAAGGAATTTTGATCAGAAATATAATGCTTAAGAGTTCTAACTGAGGCCTGGGATTCTAAATTCTACACAGGAACAGAGGGTAGAGAGCTAGACCTAAGACTCTGCTCTGTCTTATAAAACAGGGTTCCCCAACCCCAGGCCATGAAACAGTCTGTAGCCTTAGGAACGGGCTGCACAGCAGGAGGCTAGCTGGCAAGTGAGTAAGCTTCATCCGTATTTACAGCTGCTCCCCAATGATTGCATTACCACCTAAGCTCTGACTTGTGTCAGATCTGCTACAGCATTTGATTCTCCTAGGAGCCCAAACCCTATTGTGAACTGCACATGTAAGGGATCTAGATTGTATGCTCCTTATGAGAATCTAATGCCTGATGAACTGTGGTGCAGCTGGGGTGGTGATGGGGAACGACTGCAAATACAGATTAACATCAGCAGAGAAGTTTGACTGCAGATGCTCCCCCACCCCTTGTCCGTGGAAAAAATGTCTTCCATGAAACTGGTCCCTGATGTCCAAAAGATTGAGGACCGCTGTTATAAAAGATTTCTAAAAATGATGCTACTTGCTGGCTCAAAGAGATGTGGGCACTTGCAGCCTCCTGGGTTTTTTGTTTGTTTGATGAGGAAGAGGTTTACCTATGGGATTTGGAAAGCTGGGACTGTAGAATACAAATACCCAGTTTAATATTATATGTGATATAGAAATTCTAAGCTGAGAAAGTAACTTAAAAATTGACCAAGGAAGCCAAGCTCGGTGGCTCAGCCTGTAATCCCGCGCCTTTGGGAGGCTGAGGTGAGTGGATTGCCTGAGCCCGCGGGTTCGAGACCCGCCTGGGCAGGCGAGACCTCATCTCTACAATAAAATAAAAAAATCAGCCGGGCTGTGGTAGCGCGCGCCTGTAATTCCAGCTACTCGGAAGGCTGAGGCGGAAGGATCGCCGGAGCCCGGCAGGTCGAGGCTGCGGTGGCCGGGAGAGGCCACTGCACTCCAGTCTGGGCGACAGAGTGAGACTCCAACTCAAAAAAAAAATGACCAAGAAAAAGATATACATAGGTATAAAAAAATTGGTAAGGCTATAGTAATATCAGACAATAAACCTCAAGACAGTGAGACAGATGTAACAAAATCATAGAGGAGTCATTTACTAGGAATGAGTGTGCCCGTACAGTCATGTGTCACTTAACCACAGGGCTACATTCTGAGAAATGTGTCATCAAGTGATTGCGTCACGTGAACATTATAAAGTATACTTAGACAAACCTAGATGGTGCAGCCTATTACATACCTAAACTCTGTGCTATCATCTATTGCTTCTAGATTACAAACCTGTACAGCATGTTACCTTACTGAATACTGTAGGCACTGTAACACAATGGTAAATATTTGCTTGTCTAAAAATAACTAAACACAAAAAAGGAACAGTAAAAATTTTGTAAAAGATTTAAAAATGGTTCACCTGTATAGGACACTTACCATGAATGGAGTTTGCAGAACTGGAAGTTGCTCTTGGTAAGTCAGTGAGTGAGTGGTGAGTGAATGTGAAGGTCTAGGATTTTACTGTATACTACTATAGACTTTATCAACACTGTACACTTAGATCTCACTAAATGTATTAAAAAATTTTTATCTCTTCAGTAGTAAATTAACATTAGCTCACATTTTTACTTTATAAATTTTTATACAAATTTAAAACTATTTGACTCTTATAGTAACACTTAGCTTAAAACACACTTTTTATAAAAAATTTTAACATTTTTAAAAACTATTTGACTCTTATAGTGATACTTAACTTCAAAAACACATTGTACAGCAGTATGAAATATTTTCCTTATATCTTTATTTTTTCTATTTATGTATTTATTTTTACTTTTTAAACTTTATTGCAAAAACTAAGACACAAACACACATGTAAGTCTGGGCCTAGTAGAGTCAGG